CGCTCTGGTCCGGAAATAGCGGAAGACCCTTTGGAACGAGTAAACACATGTCGGTCGCTGATGCGCGATGTATCGCATCTGAAAGCAGATCATTATTTGTAAATAAAATAAATATAATAAACGTAATATAATTGTCATATAAAATATAATATATCCGATTTTTAAAAAAATTCATCTTCAGCCTTTCTGAACGAATGGCGTAACGAAGGAACAGTTTTACGGCATCATTACTGAGGCATATGTTTCAGGATTTTTCTCAAGTGTTCACTGCCAAAAAATGGAAAATGGGAGGAAATGACAGAAATAGTAAATAGGAACATCTGCAGTGTTTTCAATATAGGACCATGCAGTCTAGAAATCCTACTGGTCGTTCTGTTTGTAAATTTCTAATCTCAACAAAATATCTAAGATTATGAGTATGAAAATCGCTTCTTGAGAATGAACTAAGTATGAAGAATCTTCTAATATTTTCTCAAACAGGCGAACATTATGAGAACTTGGATAGCAGCAGACTGCTGGATGAAACTGCGCAATTATTGTAATAATTCCTTCATATTCATATCCACCAAAGGAAGAGAAGGTAGGAACAATGGTGAAAGACCGTACGCTGAAGTAAAGTACGTTGGAACAGCAATACTAGCTGAAGGCTTGCTCATTTATAAACTTAAGATAGGTTTGTTGATTAATGAAATACTGATTATAAGCCAATCTGGAATGACTGACCGTTAGCCGTAGTAAACCATGAGGACGGCACTATTAAACTGGTATTTTACTAATGGAAACGTTCACGGATGAGAAATGGATATCTGCTTTCACTTGGTAACAGGTGTACACATAGCACTGACCGATGCAATGAGACAAATGGATAAAATGAAATACAGTATACTTACCTGTCGTCTTTTGTGAGCCATGATGGCCAAATTGACAGAATCCAACACAGGCGACAGAGGAAAGAATCTGTTTTAGGTTCTCACGGATACATTTATAACACTTGTTAATAATACTCATTGCTTTACTTATTTGAATTCTGACAGTAAGTAGAACAAACGACTGTCTGAGGTACGGAAGCAACAGTAATTTCTAAACTCTCACATGCTGCCAACCTATGATGTCAGTCAGTCAGTTTCGAAGATAACTTATCCTTTGAAATCGTGGAGGCAGCATGGTCAGGCAGTGCCTCAAAAGTTCGCGAATCCGCGCCAGCGTCGTGGGTTTCGGTAGAAGAAACCGTAATTTGAAGCGGAGTCCATCGAGGCGCTTGATCCAAGTCATTCTTGGCCGTCTAGAGTTGAGCAAGTAGTAGGTGTTTCGCCTTTCTTCCTGAAAACATTCGCCAAACCTATC